TGAGGAAATTTTTATGGGATCCACAACTAAAAATTAATGTGGCATGTATGTGAGCCTCAAATTTTTTTGTTATTTTTACATAAATGGATTTACCATGCAAATATGTGGGACTTGCCCAAAAATTTTTTGATGAAAAAAAATCAAAAATTTTTTTAATGATTAATTAGCGTTTTAATGAATCATTTAAAGAATAATTAGTAAATTATTTCAAATAATTAAATTAATTTTTAATTATAAGTCCCACAAAAATTTTCACATTAATAAATAAAATTAGTTTAAGGAGCTTTTTGATATTATTAAAAGTTATAGGGTTATTAAAAGCTAAAATTAAAAGTTTAGAGACTATTTTTGTTATTTAACCTGTTGGATTTAACGGTGTTAACAAATGATTTAATGGACCTAATAGCTTCGTGTAATTGGATCTTATTTGAGAATTTTAACAACTTTAAGACCTTAATTGAGCATAATAAAACTTTAGAATTTTAATTGCAAATTTAATATAAGTTCAGGACCTTATATACTATTTTAGCCTTATTTGAATGATAAACCTTGGTAATTAAATCGAAGTGCTACAAGATGGATGTGGGATAATGTTTTAAGGGCAAGGGGAAATAATTTAGGGGTTGTTCAGTATCGCGGTTCTAAGGTAATAATTAACCGTTTCGTCCAAATTGTTACATAAAAGTATAATTGATAATTTTTTTCTCCCCACAAACAGGACATATTTGGTGTTTGTAAAAGTTTTTATTTAGTAATATGATAATAGAGGTTAGTGGTTGGAATCCAATCCACCAGCAATTTTTTTTTTTTTTATCTTGGTGGCATGATGGGAAGCAATCATTTTTCATCCCTTATCCTACTTCACTCGTATGCTATATGACTCAAATTTAAAATCTCTTATTTTCAGCAAAAAAAAAATAACCACTGAGTTATTTAAATAATTGACAATTCACTAACAAATTGAAAAAACTCCCAAAAGTAGCATTTCACCCCAAACCGTTATCGAATTGAAAATTATAAATTATTATAATCAATTTTACTCATAAAATAATTAAGTATAAAATACAAATCTAAGCACACAATTTACTTAATTTGATTACTTCTTTTCATGGTCGAGAAAACCTGAGGTCATCGACACCGACACAGTATGTTTTCTTCTTCTGCACCTCTTTTCATGATTCATTTAATTGATTCTTCTTCTGCACTTCCAATCATGATTCATTAAACTGATGGTTGTCTGCTATGCTTTTGCAAAATTTATTTTAATTGATCCATTCCAATTACTATTATAATGATATTTAATATTAATATGTTGGTTACCCACTTGTATAGATGTCCAATTTGTTGGTATATTTCTACATTAATTTTTTTATATTCAATTTTAACATTAACTTGTTTTTTTTTATTTAATTCATAACTATTTTTTAATTTAATAAAAATTTATTAAGCCATTATAACAAATTAATTTATAGAAAAGTTTGTAATTTTTATCTTGTATTTAAAATTTTAAAATTAATTTTTTATTAAAAAATAAGACAATGATTGGTACGCCTTTTGATTCAATATACTACACAACACTCTGGTTTAACCATTAAAAATTGTCTTTAGAAATTTTCACAGCGTGAATTCAAATTTGAAATAATAGTTTCTTAATGAATGTGTTGAGCCAAAGAGTATACTAACCATTTTCCTAAAAAATAACAAAAGGATGTTTCATTTATCCATAATAATAATAATATTAATTATAATAAGAACAAAAACAAACAATGATAACAATAATAATATTATTTTTTTATAGCTAAGAACTTAAAAAAAAATAAAATTAATAACTTTTTAAATTTTTCTTTATTTGTCATTCAACGTTAAATAGCAACTATTAATTAATAAATAACTAAACAGTTATTATAAATAACAACGGCTATCTATTATTGATAATTTACTATTTATTATCCATTATTCACTATCCATTACGTATTATTTACTATATATTATTTGGTAACTATGCTAAATTTCAACTGCTATACTAAAAAACCTCAGAGTTGGTGTGAGGGCTGAAATACCCCTTGATACTCTTTTTCATAACAATACTTTCTTTACATTTCAAAAAAAATAAAAAATATATATATTTATTTGAATGAAGTTGGTTATTACGTACCACAGTTTAGCAGGAGAATCAAACTTGTCATCTTGTGGAATGGAGTTTCCAATGCTGCGATATGAATTCAATCAAGTCAACCCTATGCGAGTAACTCGAGGAAAGAAATCATTAAAACATACTATATACTACTTGCCGGGGTTTCAGTAGAGTGTAGAGGCAACAATATATACTTCTCAAAAAACCAAGTGATTATTTTAAAAGACATAATTTAAAACTGTATTTCTAATTAATGGATCTTATTTTGTAATTTAAAAAATAAAATTCTCATAATTTATTATTTTACTTTTTTCAATAAATCACTTACTGTGATCTTACTTTAAGAGTATACTTGATTTGATAACAATAGAGGAAATGGGAAGAAAATTTTTTTTTTGTCCAAATTAAGACATTATTGGACGAAAAATTTTTTACTCTCCCTTTCTGCCATTTTTCTCAAACCAAAGAGCATCTAAGATTCTTAAAATTACTAAGGTCTGGCCGAACTTAACGTTGCGTATGGTGGAATTTACCTTGTCTCTCGAGTTCTTCTTTGCTGTCTTGTACCACAAGGCTGATGTCTTGTACCTCAACGTCGAGTTCTTCGCTGCCGTCTCTCATTAATAGACCTTAATAACGACAACAATAAATAAATCAACAAGGTCAAACGAAAAAAAAAAACAGAGATATCTCAGCTCTAGACAGGTTTCTAATGAAAAAAGTTATTACTAGTAAAAAAGACAACTGATTAATTAATAAGGTTAAGAAGAGAGTCTAGAGACAGCATTATACGTTCTTCAATTATCCTAAATTAAGATTCTTAGAAGTGCATTACATGTTGTCGAACTTACCTCGTTTGGAGTTCTCAGAGGATACTCTTATACCTTAATAACAACAACAAACAAATCAATCAGTGAGATCCAATTAATCAAAAAAGACAAAAAGGAATCAAAGTAGGGCAGATAAGCTATTCATAGGCCAGGACGAGGAGGCAAAAAGAAGAAAATGACGAACACCTTCTTCTCTTTTAGCCATCTCTTCTTCATTGTTGTTATATATATACTAGGAGAAAATGTTTTAAAGTCTGAAGTATATAGAATTACCCAATATTTACTATTAAATGAGATGAATCTTTTGATAATAAGGATCTTCTCCTATCCAATAACATTTATTTTACAGTTTAATGCAATTTGACTTATTAAATAAATGACTTTGTATTTCCTTAAATACATAGTCATTTCTATTAAAAAACAAATTAGGATGAAAAATAAAGAAGACAAAAGTATACACTGACAATAACATATCCACTGTTTCCAGAACACCAACCAACTTCCACTGAAGAATCCAAATGGGATCTCAGACAATGATAAATAAGGAGCCCAGTGGCTTTCAAAGCCCAGTTATCGGAAAAGAATGTAACACTTTCATTGCAATATGCTAATCATACGCTACGACGAGGACATTTAATCACAGGGAAAAAGAAGAAAATAACGGACACCCTTTACTCTTTTAGCCATCTCTTCTTCATTGTTGTTATTTATGTTTAGGAAAAAGTGTTCTAGAGTGAAAATTGCATAACATTTATTATTTAATAGGTGAATCTCCTAATATTAAGGATCATTCTCTATTTAATAATTTTTATTTTATAATTTAATACAATATAAATTACAAAATAGAAAAGTTATATACTCACTCAAATAAGGAGTCATTTCTATTAAAAAAGAAATTAGGACAAAAAATAAAGAAGACGAAAGTATATACTGACATTTATATATGCACCGTTGCCAGAATACTAGACGAGTTCCACTGAAGAATGCAGATGGGATCTCAGACAATGATAAAAATGGAGACTCTTTGTTTTCAAAGCCCATCTTAGAAAAAGATTGTAGCACTTTCGGAAAAGATTGTAGCACTTTCATTGCAACATCTGCCATTAGAATTTGTTGGAGAAAAATTAAGACAAAAAGAGAAATTCATTTGCAGAGTACGTAGTTTTAAATTTGAGTAGTATTTTAATAATCAAAATGCTTAACTCCTTTAAAAGGTATATTTCATTTCCAAATTCTAATTAAAATGGATATAATTTGATTTATTCTAAACTAATTTCATAACTTAAAATTTAGCAAATTAAATTCCTTACCTTTTAATTAAATCAAATATAAAAGGTAGTATAAAATTACAAATGAATTTAGCTACTGGGTATGCCCAAGACGTACAATTTTGTAATCCATCTGGAGTATTTTGGACTTTAAACAAATTTGTCATTTTTCAAGAAAAAAAATTACTAATCAATTTCATAAATTTTTTTAATCAAACTAAACACAGGATACACTATAGAGAATTCAAATCATGCAACTAGAGCATTAATATATGCAATTAAAATCAAAACTTTTAAATCAAACTAAATATAAGTATGTGAATTTATAAATAAATTCTACAATTTTTATATTTTGAAATCCATTTTATACCAAACACTAACTGATGCCATGTCACCCAAAAAATATATATTATATATTTGACAACTCTTACCGAACATTTTGCTTTTAATACTTGCTTGAAGGAGGAATGCGGCGTCATTCATTAGGTCGTTTTTTAAGTTGTAGTTGGCTTGAACATAGTCTTTCATCAATTCATCCCACAGGAAACATGTCATTTCCACATGACCTCCCTGACATGCAGCTAGTAGCGGAATATTTCCTTCACCGTCTTTCATAAGAAGCAACCTATGATTCTTTCCAATTAACTTTCGCGCTGTCTCTGTTTTTCCATGATAAGCTGCAAGGGCAAGAGCTGTTCTTTTCTTTTTATCTCTTATTTCCAATTGTTCTGGAGACATTTCTTCAATCAAGCTATCAACAATACCTTGCTGACCAGTACTAATTGCAGCATGAAGAGCAGTGTAACCATTTTTTGATAATCTTTCACCAAAACGTGCACCACTGTTCAAGATATCCTTCACACCATCAGAATCCCCTTTCCTAATGGCATTGATCAATAGAACAGTGTAATGCCTTGTCAATAATTCGCTATCTGCAAAGGATCGATG